ACAGACTGCTTTTAAGATTAGATTGTGATAGCTTAGAAGTATTCAGCAGAGGCTGGGAGACCATCAATTAAGGAGATTATAGTAAAACTTCATAAATGGAGAGTTGGACAAGAATATCTCTAAAGTTTTACCTCATGTTATGATCCTATGATTCTGTTACTTCCAAAAACATTTTCAAATTATCTGCTGTCTCCAGTATTCTGCAGCATTTTGTGGACTTGGCATCTGACTTTTGAGTCTGAGTTCCATTGTTTGCTAGCTCTGTAACCTTGAGTAGTTTGACCTGTTACTGTGAAGTAGTTCTCTTGATATTTTACCCCTCAGGCTTTTCCTTAAATCTCCTTTCTAGGATCCAGATTGAAAGCTATGATTTAAAGAGTGTGTAGTTATAGAATGCATTTTTATTTTCACTTTTTGTTTTGTTACTGCTTGTCTCTTCCTTGTTTTACACTTAACTTTCTCTCAGGATATATTGTTTCTTTCATTGCTTATTGTCTTGTCTGAAATTTAAATTAGATGAGATGGTATCTCGAATTGTGAATGCAGTGTTTTGTTTGTTTTGGTTTGAAGGGAGTTTAGGAAGGAATATTCATTATTTTATAATTTGATAGATTTAAAATTTCTTAAAGCCCTGATTATTATTTTTAAATTCTATATTTTATTTGAAAAGTGAATGCTTGTTCTCATGATCATGCATTTTTAAAATATGCACTTTCTTAAAGTAATTTTTTCTAAAATATTTCTTTTAAAGTAAAACTTCTAAAGTTTTTAAAGTTTTGATTTTTAAAAGATGCACTTACAGCCAGAATACTAAATGCGACTTGCAGTTTTTCTTTGCAGTTATTTCTTGGTCCTGTCTCCTCTATTTCGACTGTCATAGCTCCTTTTTACCCTGTATGTAGATAAATAATTCTTGTTTGTTGCTGTATCTCTTAACTAGAAAGTCTTACATATCTTAGTCTTTTCTTGTTTCATCTGTCCTATAGGTTGCTTTTTGAACAGCCTTAAACACTATTTTTATCACATTTTTACGTCCCCCAAATATGCATTTATTCCATTTGTGTAGTCTTTTTCACTATTTATAGTCTAAATTCCTTATCTGGTATTTAATGTCCCCTGCCTGTCCCGATGTAACACATAGTCTGCCCTAGCTGAAAATTGTGTTAAGACATTTGTGTTGGTTAGTGCTTATGAGCTTAAAATGTGGACTCAGATCAAGTTTGTGTCATGTCTCCATCATTTATTATCTGACCTCCATTTTAGCATCAGTTTTCTTAGTCATACAATGGGAATAATGTCTGTCTCTTGGGTTCATGTGAGGGTTCAGTAAGATAATTATGTTTACTATAATTAGTTTGTAATTGGCAGGTTGTAAGCATTTATCATACATTAGGTTGATCATTATTTTTATTCTGTCAAACTATGTAAATTACACTTAAATCTTGATTGAAAACATTGATAAAATAAATTTCACCGACAGTTTGGATTGTTTATATTTCCTGGACTATGGAAAAGAGTAGAAGAATGAGAAGAAAGATTTCATTTAAGAGTCACATTATAGAATTTTGAAATTTTAAGGAACCTTTGAGAACCTCTAGTCTCCATTTTTTGAAGTCAGAAAATACCCTGAAAGATCATGATTCATTAAATTAGTGGTCAAGTCAGTACTAGAATCCAAATTTTATATATACTAGTACCATATTATATTGTACATGTGCCTAGTACATAATAAGTGTTCAGTAACTGTTGAGAACTGAATTAATGTGATGATTATGTGTCTGTCTGAAGACTAGCTTATCTCTATGTGTTCATTGTTTCCTATATTGCCTCTTTCTACATGCTTATTTAGGGGCTGGTCATTGATTCAAAAAGCATTTACTGAACATCTGTGTTCAGAGAAGCTTTTTACTTAACGTCATATCTTTGTACCTCAGTGTAAGTTTGGCAATGTGTTAGAATTTCAAGCTCTAAAATTTTAATTGAATTAAATATTGTTTTTTATTAGAAAAACATTTTATCCCAGTTTTAAAATGTTCTGAGTTGGGTTTGCTATTTTTAGTATTCAAATTACCATCTAGAAGGCACTTTCTGAAATATATATCCATATGTTTCGTGAAACGTGGTAGTACATAAATGGGTTGTTTAAATTATCTATGAAATTGAAGCTGTGGTACCCCATTTCCACAGAGTGCTAGGTTTATGCTTTGTTAAAGGAGAATAGGATGTCCATATTTTGTTATTATGTGGAAGCCAAGTGCAACCCATATAATGGAATAGAGACGAGGAGGATGATCATCTAGAGGAGTAGGCACTACAAGTTATTTTTCAGTTATCTTATATTGAGAAATAAATAAAAAGTGAGAAATTGGGTGGAGCAAGATTGTAGAGATAAGCAGCCTGATTTGCTGCTTTAATTGAAACTGTTTGACTCGGTTTTCTGGTTAAACTGGGCATTGTTGACAAATTGCTAATCTAACAACTGCTTATTAACTATTTCAGATAGAGAGGATTAGAACTGATCCATAGCTGTTTATATCGTATAAAGAATCTGACTTTGAAAATAATGAATATAGTATTTTTGTTGTACTATAAAGTATTTAATGTATGCGGTTATAGAACTTTTAATGGTTGCTTTTGTGGGTAGAAAACAAAAGTATAAATGAAATATTATGACATTGTTAAATGCCTATTTTGTCTATCTTTGGAATTCATTTTTGTTTACAGTTGGTTATAAATTGATACCAGAGAAAGATTCATAATATAGAGTCTGCTATGACTAATCCTCTCAACTATTGCAGTGAGGTGTGTGAATAAGAGTAATTGTTCAACAGGAAGTACCTAATTCTTATTCACAATTTAGATATGACCTTTAATAATGTAAGGTCATAGCTAATGAGACAATAGAATGGGCACTTTTTATTTAATTGCAAAAAGCACTTTGCCTATATTTGTTGATATTGCTTGATTATTGTCTTGTATTTATCTTTCTTAGATTATGGTCCCTGCCTCTGTATTTGGAACAGTGTTCTCATACATACATACATATGATGTCTAGGAAGGCCATTATCTACGTAATAGGTATACAAGAAAGAGAGTAGAAAATAATCAAAGGAAGATTACAGAAACTTCACAGTACTGAAGGAGATTCATTTATAAATTTAAAAGCTCAGCAATTATCACTTAATACAATTCAAAACAAAAAACTAACCCAACCCCAAGCTAGAAGCTTCTTTAAGGTTGCTGAGGTGTGTGGTATACAGGTGACTAAAAAGGATTGGGGATCAGAATCAAGCTTCTGTTTAACAGCAGCTCTGGGAAGTCAGAAGATGAACAAGAAATTATGAAAAACGACAGAAGAAAATAGCTAAAAACTCCTGGAAATGGTTGCTTCAGGGATGTGAAAAATGGGGTTGGGGCAAGAGACATGTTTTTCCTGTAAAACTGTTAGAATTTTAAACTGTGTGCATGCCTGTCTGATTTTAAAAATTAATTTTAAAAAATGCCCCTCACAGAGTGCTTTCTGTACAGAATATTTCTCAGGCATTTAAAATTCCCTAGGATTCTGAGATGTGAAAAACGGCCTGTAAGAGTAATGAGGAGAGAGTCATTAGTTCTGATAGACCTGATGGGCAAAGGCTGTCAAAAGCTGGACTTTAAGGAAATAAAGCATTTTTAGCCAGAGAACTAGGGGAGGGGCTCATATTTCTTTGATTGATCAGCTATATTGCATATAAAGCCCTGCATACACTATTTTTTCCTCACTGGTACATTTTTTATTTAATTGTTTTGCAATCTGCAAGGGACTTCTAGAGGATTGGCTTGGGGAGGGCATCATCTCAGGGAGTGGTGGTGAGTTAAGGAAGGCAGTGTAGCTTTTGTGAATTGGTATTTGGTATGAGATGAGGGGATAAAACAGTTGGGGAAATAAAGACCAAATGGTAAATTTACATGTATCTTCCATCCTAACACCTTCCTGTGTCAGTGGTGGTAAAGTCAGATTAATAACAATGCTGTATGATCTTGAGGAAGCCATTAAAATGAGAAGATTGCTATAGATGGGCACTTCCTGTTGGTAGTCTCTTAATTACCGCCAAAAAAAAAAAAAAGAGAGAGAGAGAAAGAGTGGCCAAATAAGTTTGGGAACACAGGGTTAAACAAGGTTAAATAGATTTCTTTACCACAACCTTATCCAATACGGCATGTGGATTAAATTTCTAGACTTTTTAGCTTGGCTTTGCCAGTGGAGTGAGTCATTAGTATGTTTCCAGCTCTGTCCTTTTCCTAGTGATTTAGTGGAAAGAGTGTGGGTTTTAGATTCATATATGACTGGATTTGAATCCTGACTATTATTTATAGCTACGTGGCCATAACTAGTTTCTTCTTCATATGTGAAGGAGGAAGGATAATACCTTGTGAAGCTGAAGAGACTTAGTGACAACCCATAAATAAGTAAATATCAAATCTGGTAAAAATGGGTCAAAAAAGGTATAGTTAAGTCCTACAAATTCCAGAATTAGTTTATTTAGAATGTAATACTTGATAATATTTTATTTATATTGTGCCTATGTCTGGTGTTTGAAGGGAGGCCATTTATATGTTTCAGATATTCTTATATAATTTTCCCCCAAGAAAACATGTTCTTGAAAGCTCATTATTATCTTTTCCCATTCATATAGCTCTTAGCACTCTCCTGGAGTGTTTGATAAATAACTGACAATTTCATCAGAACAGTAGAGGTGAGATGTGGTTCTACCTGGTGTATACTTTATCTTACGTCTTTCATAACTCCGGATAGAAGTCCATGAATTTATGAGTATTAATTTTAAATTTCTTTGTTCACACATTAAATGGTTAAATTTTAAGTTTGAAATAGCTAGAATTGACTGTAAATGAGCTGGCCTTCACATCACAAGAAGAAAGGGTTATAATAAAGTATGTTTTATCAATTGTAAGTTATATTATCAGAATACTAATGTTTTACATTTTGTTTTGTCTCTAAGCAAATGGTTATGAGCCTTAGAGTTTCTGAACTCCAAGTACTGTTGGGCTACGCTGGGAGAAACAAGCACGGACGCAAACACGAACTTCTTACAAAGGCCCTGCATTTGCTAAAGACTGGCTGCAGTCCTGCTGTACAAATGAAAATTAAAGAACTCTATAGGCGGAGGTTCCCCCAGAAAATCATGACGCCTGCGGACTTGTCCATCCCCAACGTACATTCAAATCCAATGCCAGCAACTTTGTCTCCATCTACCATTCCACAGCTCACTTATGATGGTCACCCTGCATCATCACCGTTACTCCCTGTTTCTCTTCTGGGACCTAAACATGAACTGGAACTCCCACATCTTACATCAGCTCTTCATCCAGTCCATCCGGATATAAAACTTCAAAAATTACCATTTTATGATTTACTGGATGAACTGATAAAACCCACCAGTCTAGGTAAGATTATTCTATAATGATTATTTGATTACTTTTGGAGGATTTGTTTTCATTTTGGAGTTTTAATTTGACCCAGTTTATTATTCATAATGAAATTTACATTTGGTAGTAGCATCCAGATGATAATAAGGATCTTTCAATATTAGACAGTCAAATGTATAAAAGCTGTCTTTTAAGGAAAGAGAAAAACTGTAGTCAAGTTTCTAGTGATGGTTGCTGACATAGTACATATTAAGTTTCCAAGAGTATAAACTTCTTAAAGTATAATATTTTAGATTGTTGAGTAATATTTTATAATAACCCTTACAAATTAAAATAAAAACCCAGTAATTAATAACAGCTTTGGAATTCAATTATTTTCAAAGGTTGATGGCATCTAAAACAAATGGCTAACTAGTTTTGATTATTTAAATGAGCAAATGGTTTTAATCATTGTAAAAGGAGAATTGAGCTTTGATGTGTAGTATTTCAGTTTCAGCTGACTTTCAAGTGCATATGTGAGCTCTGCAGGTGCTCAAAATGAATTATATAATATGAATACTTGAAATTTCATTTACTCTGTTTTCCCATTATTTGTTTAGTACCTAGGATATTAGTAAAATTAAATGTGCCAATCAACTTGTAATTTTAGTTGCTGTAATGCTGCCTTTATTTAATGTAGAATAAAACTGACCCGATTATGATCTCTGATGTTCTTGGTGTAATATATTTAAAATGTCGGTTTCTATATGCTGGTTTGTTGTTACAAATCAATATCTAGCAAACTCTGGCTGGCAAGGCACATCCAACCTGTAGCCTGTTTTTTGTAGATCTAAGCTAAGAATTTCAAAAATATTCCTAAAGGGTTGTGAAGAAAAACATACACACACGAAAACAAGAAAATGAAACAGAGACCATGTATGTCTGCAAAATCTAAAATATTTACTCTGGCCATTGCAGAAGAACTTTGCTGACCCCAGTTACAAATCATTAAACATTTCAGTTAAGGGGATTGGTTAGTGTTGAATTTTGAGAACCTATACTGAAATTCTTTAAACTGGGAAAACTTTGTTTTTAATTATATTTAGCAGAATTTACCTGAGGAAATTAAGATTATAGGAGTCATTTTCAAAAAATACAAACTTATTATCACATTAGGTTATTTTTAAAATAGCCGTAACTGAAAAATAAGTGCTCAAAGTGCTTCTTTATTAGCAGTTTAGTGTGCATACATATATAAACAAATTATGTTTCTTACTTTTCAAGAAGGAACTGTATTATACAGTCTTCTGTGACTTGCCTTTTCTTCCCTCACTAATATTTTATAGATATTTTTCCTTGTCTGATATCTGATACATGACATATATATATGTCCCATTTTTAATAGACCATACACACACATGTGGTGTATATATGTATGTATATGTGCATGTATATTTATATTCTAGCTACTTTCTTATTAAAAACTGTATGTTATTGCATGATTTGAATAAGTCCTCTATTATAAGACAAATTTTTCTAGTTTTTTTACTGCTAAAACATGCTACAGTGAACATCCTCTGAAATTTAAAAGGAAAAAATGTTGGTGTTTTTTATTTGATTTGATTTCTAGTTCTCAAATTTTTTTCTAATCTTAATAATTAACATATCTTGCTGTTTCTTTATTTTCACTAATATAAATTTCAAGTGCTACTGTGAATAGGTGATGTGCATCTAAATTTTGTTAAGGAGAGTTGAATGCAAACTGGACACATTATGGTTATATTGAGTAATGTCAAATAAATTAAATAAATTAAAATTAAGGGAATTTTAGGTACTTTTAAAAAATTTTACAGGAACTTTGCTTAAATATATATGTTATGTGTTTATTTCTAATTGTCTATATGAATTGTTCTTTCATGCCTTTGTATTATAATTTATGTCTTATATATGTTACTGCTTTAATACTTCAGGGTACTTTTTTACTTCATGAACTTTTTAATGTGTAATAGTAGCAGTGAATGTATCTGATTTTCCCCTAAAAAAGATTAGAAGCAGACAGTTCGTAAGAAATTATGCTGTTAAAGCTGCAGGTTTTGATATCTTTCTGTGGTATTTTCCCCCAATAATTGTTTTTAAAGAACAGGCAGTAAATTTTAAATAGTTTGTATGTTTACTCTTCATCTGAAAGCTTACTGAATTTTAATGGATATTCTAAGTAGCAATTTGAAAACATTGTCATAAATTTTGCCCATTCTTGATAACCACTAAGTAAACCTTTGCATTCACAAAATTGACTGGGTTGAAGTACTAAAATATTTCCCATGAGATTTATTTGATTGGGCTTTCTTATCCTGCAGTCCTTATTTGCATATTCTCTATTTGTGAATGTAATCCTTTCTCAAATCTACTTGTAAGTTCAAAATCAGTACTCAAAATAGTTTCATGGTTACTTATAGACATGCACAGAGTGGCAATGAATTTGAGTTGGAAGATGCACCCTTTCCTGCCTATGGTTGAACAAGGTGATTTTACTTGTTTTCAGCTCTCATACTGTAAACAAGTGTTCTTGTTACACTCTATTTAGTGCCGTATTTCTTGCATCTTTGTGCTTTTTGTTGCTGTTTAAAACGACCTCCATTAGTGCTGAAGTTCTGCCTAGTGTTCATAAATGCAAGGCTGTGATGTACCTTATGGAGAAAATATGTGTATTAGATCAGTTTTCTTCAGGCAAGTTAAAGTTCTCTTGGCCTGTGAGGTCAAAGTTAATGAATTGTTATGTTAAATAAGGTGTCTTTAAACAGAAACACACATAAAACAAGGTTACATATTGATCAGTTGATGAAAATGTTGTGATCAGAGGCTTATAGCAACCTAACTCTGTTATTTCTCCTAGGAGCAGTGGTTTAGTATTCACGAATTCATTGTTTATGTTGACTTTATAGAACACAACTACCACAAGTAATAAAAATTGACTGTACATTTAAAGTTTAGTTTGATTTGAATACCAGTTTTCTGGATCTACTGTTTGAGGTATTGCACAACATGAACAGGTGTTGCAGAATTGTTTGGTGGTGTGTAAGTAGATTTCTAATTTCTTATTGTAATAGAATTAAAATAAAAACAAACATTTTGGTTATGCATAAAAAAATCTTCACCAGAAAGTAATTTGTGGGTACTTATTGAGTCAGTAAATATTCAGGGGAGGGGAGTGCTCAGTGAATCCGAAAAATGATTTATTGAGAAAAGATTCTAAGTAATCTACAGACTTTAGGATTAATATATAGGCACTGTCTATTTTATAAAAAACAAACAAAAAAAGAAATCTTTAAGTTTCTTTAATGTTACTTTTGTTTTTAGTTTAAGTGTCTACTTCATCACAGAATTCAGTTTTCTACAGGATCACTTTTGCTTGTAGATCATTTGTTTTGAATCTAGGAAAACAGTATTTTCTGAAAAATTAAAAGGCTCCCAGCATTCTCTCTGTTTCTAAACATATATACATTTAAAATCATTACAAGCTCTTATAAGTTTAGTTTTTATAGCTGGCTATATTCATCACAATTATCCTTGAGTCCAGAATGTGGCAGGCAAATTAATTTTTCATTTTCCCCCTTTCCATTTGGCCTTAAGCACTAGATGTAAAAGATTTTAAGATGGTCCAGTATAACCTGAATGTTTTTAATGCATGGTCATTTTTCTAACTAAAATCAAAACAGTAGTTTTGGTACCCTGTATTTTAATTAGGTAATTTCTTATCCATTCTTACAATCATTTTTGTTAGTATTTCTTTAACAATAAGTAATTTAAAGGGATTTATTTGTTTTGGAACCACGTATTAAAGAGAATTCTTTACATTTGTCCATAGTTAACTAGAAGAATTGGGAGACCAAGTAAAGGTGGTTGTAAAGTGCTTGACCATGTTTTTTTTTTGATATCGTTAATGTACAATTACTTGAACATTGTGGTTACTAGACTCCCCCTATTATCAAGTCCCCCCCACATACCCCATTACAGTCACTGTCCATCAGCGTAGTAAGATGCTGTAGAGTTATTACTTGTCTTCTCTGTTATATACTGCCTTTCCCGTGTCTCCCCCACTACATTATGTGTGCTAATTGTAATGCCCCATTTTTCCCCCTTATCCCTCCCTTCCCAACCACCCTCCCCAGTCCCTTTCCCATTGGTAACTCTTAGTCCATTCTTGGGTTCTCTGAGTTCGCTGCTGTTTTGTACCTTCAGTTTTTGCTTTGTTCTTATACTCCACGGATGAGTGAAATCATTTGGTACTTGTCTTTCTCTGCCTGGCTCATTTCACTGAGCATAATACCCTCTAGCTCCATCCATGTTGTTGCAAATGGTAGGATTTGTTTTCCTCTTATGGCTGAGTAGTATTCCATTGTGTATATGCACCACATCTTCTTTATCCATTCATCTACTGATGGACACTTAGGTTGCTTCCATTTCTTGGCTATTGTAAATAGTGCTGTGGTAAACACAGGAGTGCATGTCTTTTTGAAACTTTCTGCTGCATTCTCAGGGTAAATTCCTAAGAGTTGAATTCCTCAGTCAAATGGTATTTCTATTTGATCATGTATTTTTGCTTGCAAGTATTAACATTCTGTTTGTTCTATGAGAACCATTAAAAAAACTTTCCATTAATTTTTCTAAGATTTGTCCCCTGCCATATCAGTCTATTCCTTCATTCATTCAGAATCAGTTTCACTTTCCTGCATGTTCCTGTACACTTTGTTGTTGGTAGTTCCTCAAAATGGTAAGAGCTCTTCTGTAATTATCTGTATATTCCCATAATAGCTGGCAATAAACCTGTTAAATAATAGTTGTCCAGTAAACTTTACTTAGCTCTCCACCTTACTTAAATGTGACACAATTAAAGTAGTCTTTTACTTCACTCTGAATCAGTGAATTTTAACCATTTTACAAGTCGAGATACAACTGAGGCATGTAACTAAGGCACATCACATATCATAAATAGTGTAATATGCTTTATTTTTTTTTAAGTTTTCCCTAATTACAAAGAT